AGAGGTCTAAGATGCCTATACGTGGCCAATAGATTTGAATCATGCAGCCCCTTGTGCCACAACAAATCAAGCCAATCGCTGTAATAAAATAGGCCAGGGTGCCTCAAGCGAAGGCTGCAATGAATGATATTAATGTAAATATATATATATATATATATATAGTGAACTATAAAAAATGTTATTATAAGTAAAATATATAGGCATAAATCTATTTAACATATAATTATGCACAATTTTAATGTTGATTTTGAATAAAATTTAATAATATATATTGTATTTATATCTATATTTTTTAATAACATACTAACATATATTGTATTCAAGTGTAAATAAATTTTTTTTTTAATGACAAATATTGTATTATTATAAAGTGTGTATCATTATATGACATTTTTTTTTTGTAACGAACATTATTTTTAAACTTTTGATATATACATGTGACACTCTATCTCTCTCTATAGTTAATATAAAAATTAAAAGAGGTTTTCATGATATATAAAAAATAAATAATTTTTTTTGAACTTTTACAAAACTATACAGTAAAAGGATATGAGGACAACATTAATAAAGGACAATGTTTATTTTATCATTTATCTCGACGATCGAGACAACATAATATATCGATGATGAGTTCACCTTATGTACATAGACATTCGCCTCACGCAGGACAATCTTGGTAATGTCGACTGTTGAACAGATCGAGATGATCAACATGACTATGTACACATTCGTCTTATGAAGGATAGTCTCAACAACATTGACTCTTGAACAAGTTGAGACGATCAAAGTGATTATTTTGAAGTACTTGTGGTTTCCTGATTAATAAAGGAGAGAAACAATATTAAGAGACTAACTCATAGTCAATAACTGTATTACGTAATTAGTAATCAGGAACTAAAGGCTCAACAAATTCAAGCCCACTATGATCAGTATAAATAGTTACATAGATCAAGGTAAACTATTGTTCATTTATTACTCTCATAAATATTTGAGTCCATCCTAACTTGAGCGTTGGAGTATCTTTTATAAATACCTTATCCTTCAAAGTTCAACACATATTTACCATTGTAATATCGGATAGGTACAAAAACATTTTGCAATAGTAACAAACCCACATTATACTCTAGTCATATAGTCAATTAAAATTAAAAACAATTAAAAAATGTCTAGTAAACTTTTAACACTTTCACAACTACACATAAGTTCAAAATTATAAACAATGGGAAATAAAGAAAAATAAATCATTTGAAAATAATAAAACTTAAATTTTAATGTCATATAATATTAGAGCATGATAGTCAAAGCTACAAGCAAATGAGTTCTAAGCTTTTTCTCTAGCATCACCATCTAATTGAGTCTTACTTGCAAATGACAACCTAAACAAAATCAATCAAATAAAGAGAGTAAGATACAACCCACTCATGCTCCCAATGTGAAACAAAGATCAAACAATATCAAATTATAACAAAATTCATCATATAATTTATCAACCTATTTAAGAGATATATAATGTTATACAATGTGTCATGTTATAACATAATTGTGCATGTGACACTATTTCAAAAATCAATTGCAAAAATAGTAGCATAAGAGTACATGTCAAAGAATATAGCCACCCAACTTAGGTGCCTACCACTAAACCCTAGGGGAAGATCCACTAGTAACTCGTTAAGGTTATAAGGTCACACTAGATTCACTTATACTCATTATATGTGATTGGGATTCTCAAAACAAATTGACCCCTAAGGTCCAAATTCTCTAATCACTGAGCGATGACTCATGCCCAAGAGGTTAATCCAACATGAGTGAGTTAGGCTTGAATAAAAAATGTCTAAGCTCATGTTGATCTTTAGGCCATTTTTAATAATCCACTTTTTCTTCTTTATATATAATTTTCATTATAAGTATTTTCTTAATTTTGACTATGTATTTGTGGTCAAATAATATAGGAATTTATTTTCTTGTAAATTATTTTTAAGGATGTATTTAGTATTTTAGGGGAGGGAGTACAACTAATATTTGACATATGTGCTTATTGAACTTATTTGGCCCATGAAAGAATGGAGAGTCATACATCTATCATGGTGGATTAAAATTATGGCTTCATGAACTCTCTCATTAGTTTGCACATCACCTACCAAGTCACATATTTTACACACTAATCATAGTTTTTGTATGCTTGCTTCTATGCCCCCTACCACACCTTTTGGACCTTGTCATGTAGATTTCCCTATGTGTACTTAGTCACTGAGTGTTGAATAAGAACTAAATTTCTAAAATTATCTATGCAAAGTCTCTAATTCTCTCTTTGAAAAATTTTCTCCTTAAGAACTTTTATCAAAGAATTCTTCTTTGTGACAAGTTTAACTTCTCATGCTTATCTTTCACTTAGAAGTGGCACACCAATCACTCTTTTTACTCTTATTTATTTGATTTCTTTGATATTTGAAATCATATGAACAAAGATGAAAGAAGTTAAAAAAAAAAACTATAAAAAATTCTTCATTCTTCTCCTTAAGATTTTCCATCACTTTAGATCCCCAAAACATTATAGATGTGATTAAGATTTCAAAACAAATTGACCCTTAAAGTTTAAATTCTTTAATCACTAAGGGATCTTTCAAACATAAGTTTTTACACAAATACCTTAAAAACACAAATTTTATGCATATACATATCTCAAATAAATATAATTTAAAAATTGGAATGTATTATTATTATTATTCGATGTGAATAATCTACTTGTTCAACTATTTCAATAGGCTAAATCTCTCAATTGTTCCCGAGTTCTTAATTAACTTAATATTAATTATTTCTTTATTCTACTGTCTCAAAATTCCCTCTTACATCTTACAAGCTCTACTCAAATGTAGTATACTCAAGTCTCAAAAACAAACAATGCTAACAAGGGACTTACACCATTGTGCCAAGTACTAGCACGACAAGCACAATCATTAACAACATAAAATTTCGAGATGATGCATAGTTAATTTACATTTGTATTTTTTTATGTGTGTAATCCATCCAAAATTGCATGTTACTAATTAATATTCAAATTAAAATTCAATTAACTTATTTTTAATTTCAAAATACATTAATTAACCGCTTATATTTATTTATTTATATAACATACAACTTTTTAATCATTTTCTCTTTCATTTCTCTCCCATGAAACATAATTTTTTTTTTCGATTTATTTATTTCTTCTACATGCTAATTTTTTTCCCCTACCGAGCAGAAGGTAAAAGAAAAACACACATCCCTAATCCAATTTGGCCGAATTAGTATCAACCCATTGACGTAAAAATCACAAGGCAGTGTTTGGAATGGTGGATGAGGATTGAGGAAGAAGCCGTTGCACACTAATTATTGTAATTCGCTTGATTTTCATTTTTCATCAACTACTTCCCATTCGACAAAAACGAAACCTCAACGACCGTTTCATTTTAAACCATATTATTCCACAGAACCAAACACGACCTAAGTCTCCTCCATGATTCCCCTCAAAACTCATCCACATTCTCCATTCTTCTTCTTGTCCAGTGCCAAATCCAACCCTCTTCACTTCTCTCTCCAATCCCTCTCTCTCTCTCTTCCCTCACTCAAACCCCCACTCTCTCTCTCTTCCAATCTTCTCAGGGTTTCGAATTTTGGAGGGCCAGTTTGCAGAACCAAACACAATGAAGAAGAAGACAAGGGAGTTTCGCTGGAACTTCACGACTTGTCGCCAAATGGAGCAGTATACCAGAAAACACTGCAATTGGTTGAGTGTTCCATGTTTGCTGCACTCACCGGTTTGGTCTATTTCTTGAGCAATTCCCTAGCCATTGAGGTTTGTTAATGCGGATAAAAATTGGGTCTTTGTTTGTTTGTGGAGTTTTGTTGAGAAAGGAGAATAGTGGGTACGTGTTATTTTGGTTGGAATTTGGTTGGTTCTAACAAAAATTTGATCTTTGTTTGTACGAGGTTTGGCAAAGAAAATAGAGTAATGGGTCTTTTTATTTATTTATTTTTGGGATGGGTTTGGGTTGAAATTTGGTTAATGCTAACAAAAACGCTTGTAGTCTCTTTATGCTGGTAGAAAATTTTCAATTCACGTTTTGGATGTTTGTTATTTTTTTAATTCTCAATTCTCATGTTTGGCTTTTGTTTCTGATTGCAGAATTACTTTAGTTGTTTCTTCTCATTGCCAATAGTGATATCCTCAATGAGATGGGGTGTTGATGCTGGAAGGAAAACTCTGGTTAGACTTGCTAGTTGCTTCCCATAATGCTATAAATAATTCTTGAAGAGTTTAATTTATGTGTAGAATAGTTTGTACTGACATCTGATAGAAATTTATATTATTGTCACATCATGTTAATGAATAGGATGACATGGTAAAGTGATCAATCTCATTGGATGTCTGTGTAAAAAATATTTTAAACAGACTGTTTATGTAAATTAAACTAATTTTTGAAGTATTCTTGAATTGTTATTGATGCATCGATTATCAGATTGTTAACGTTGCATTTATTTTTTGTTGTAGGTGGCGACAACTATACTTTTGCTTGTCTTGTCTGGTCCAGTAAAAGCCCTAACTTATCTGGTGAGCTTGCTTTTAACTTTATCAACTTACTGAGCTAGGTCAACACGACTCTGGACTCTGCCTTTGTGTTTTCCTTGCTGTTGCCTATTATTTTGTTTACAAAAGAAAGGAATTGTAATTTTGTGAGCCAAAATGTAATTTTATGAGAAGTGAGTATTTTTATATTTTAGGAGAAGAAAAGTTGTTTACTCTTATAATATATATTTGGGTTTAATTCAACCTTATAAAACCGCTTGTAAGGTGAGGGTTGTCCTCTATTTATATATGTTACTTTGGCTTTATCACTAGCTGATATGAGATTGGCTAATAACAGTCTAATATACTCAACAACAATCACATACTCTTGTAACATATTAGAATATGAGGTTGAGTCTAACTCTCAACATCATAATATCAACTTTTAAGGTAAGAGTTGTTTCTCATATATATTACTTTGGTCTTATTACTAGTTGACATGAGATCTCCAATATTTACAAATTAGTTGGAGGATGCATTTTTTTATTTTTATTTTTATTTATGTATTTATTTTTATATCAAATATGTATTCTTGTAAATGTGGTGCTATTCAGAGCAGAACATCTCACGTGGGTTATATTTTATCCCTCTAGAGATGATAATAGTCAATATAGTGGTTTACTATAGCCTCGACCATAACAACATGCCAATTTCTTTGCATACAGCTTGAAAATCTGTATACCGTAGGTCACTGTTTGTAAGAATTGCAGGTGTGATCATTGGAAATTAATCTTGTTGGAACTTGGAACCAAGATTTGCCTCCCTTCATTTTCCTTTTACACAAATATTTTATGTTGGGTTATGTATAGCTTGCATACTGTAGTGAAACCACCTATAAATTAAATGATTAGTGAATATTTCTTTCATGCAGCTTAAGCATGGTATAGTTGGTTTCACAATGGGTACTTTGTGGAGGTAAGTCAAGCACATATTTTATGTTCTTTCATACTTCATGTACTGGTTAACTTTGTAATGAAATTCATTGAATTAAGATTACTACTTTGGTTGTATAATGCTGTGAATCATTGATTTGTGATATTTACATTTTTTTAATTCAAGTTAACACGAATTAAATCACCTCACTTTTACGTGAAATTATTAAACTTGAATTTTGTAGCATAATGTTCAGTCTTCCAAAGTAGGCATGACTAACAGATGATGTTGTTTTAAAGTGGGCAAGCAATTTATATTTTTGTATGTTGCTTTGTTAAATGCAGATGTTGTTTGATTTCTGATATTATCCTTATTATATAATGTGGCAAGATGAGAGAACTGGACCAATTATAGAATTAAATTAGATAATTGTGTTAGATTTTCCCTCCTGCTATTCTGTATTAGTGGATATAAAATAAGCAAATCAAGATGGACTAAAATAGAAAAATACAGATAACCCAAAGCAATTTGAGAAGGCTTGTCTCTCCTTCCCAAACCTTCAGTCACACAATCACACCTTTCTCCTCACCTCTGATGCATATATACTTCAAAACTGGCAACCTATATGTATCATATCCATACCAGATGTCAGAATCTGGGTGTCTTAAATGTTAACCTCTTATATATGTTTTCTCTTTGGATAGAAATGAAAATATTAACATAATTGGAATTATAACATTTATATTTAAATTTGGTTACAATAATGCTTTTTCAACAAATTCTGCAAAATCATTAAAGATTGGTCATAACATTATAATGATAGTAAATCAATTTAATTATCAACTATATTATGAAAAATAAAAAAAATTAATAAAATATAATAATTACATTTAACTTAATATACCTTGTCATGCCCATATTCAAATTTTTTATTATTTTATTATTTTATTATTTTTATTTTTTTAAAATTATTGTAGATAATGTACTCATACAACATGTTGCTCACCCTTTCCCACCTCTTTTCTGTATTTCCCTCCTCTAATCTAAGTGAATTCCTATACCTACAAGTAATATTTTTCTAATTTTCACCCTGGAGAATGGTTGAGAGTCTTGAGACTCTTAAAAGACTTGGTAAATGTACCAGTCATACAAGTAATAGAGCAGAGAAGTAGGGTTGTTTTAAACGAAGATTGATATTCATTCACTAGCTCACACAATTGGACAAACCAATATATTTGATGGAACATGAAATTAAATGCAACAACTAAGACTAATTGATGTTTAGTTGATTTTTATGATTTTGAATTAATCAAGAATCAAGAAATGGATTTGACTAGGTTTTGAATCTTTCTATGTCCCTCTTAGTAATCAAACACAATCCAGTGGAACATCATGAAATTGAAGTTTGATCTATCAAAATTAGACTATGTTCAATTCCTTGAATCTAAGCCCCTTCAATTAAACACAGGGTTCTAATAATCCCTTAGAAAATCATAGATCTAATTAAGTGTAGAAATCTAGCAAAACATTTGCTCATGAAGTTCTATATCTAGAATATCACAAACAAGTCAATTACTCTCATATCTGGAAGCATTCATAATTTTCCATTGACAAACACAACCTCAGATCGCTAATGGCCTGTTAGAGAAAGCATGAAATGCAGAAAGAAATTGCTCATATTCATAGAAGAAACTTGCTTTGAAAAGAAAAATTTCTAATTACAAAGAATTTCGATAATTTCATCTACCGTAATCTAGGGAATATAGCAAGACAATAAGAAAACTAGAAGATCGGAAAAGGAGAAGAGATTTGCTCCTTTTAGCCCCCATTTTCCCCTCTAAAACGTGTATTTGTACTTAAAGGCCTAGGATACTGACCACAGCACTCCAAGCAACATTGCAAATTTTCCTATCCAGAACTTAGTTCTAGGATTTAGTGCCAAATAATTGAATCTAATTTGCAACACACAGCTTCAGCGTTGCAATGGTGATTCTAGCACTGACATCTGGGTTTCTTTTTGTCTTCCAGTGCTTAGGGAAGTGCTTCACTGTATTCCAGCACTTTTGGCACTGGGAGAACTTGGGCTCTCAATCACCAGCATTTATCCAGCTCTTTTATAGGGTTTGGCACTTATAGCACTGGGAACAATTGATGCTCACTGTTAGGCAGTGCTTTTCCTCTATTTCCAGTGCTTAGCTCTGGTGCCTTTTTTCTAGATAGCTTCCAGTCAATCTTGGTGCTTAAAGCACTAAAGCTAAAGTTTCCAATGCTTGCTTCCTGCAAAAGGAAATGAAAACTAATTGGGCATTTAATTGGACATGAATTTAATGAGCTTTCTATATTTGTCTAGGTGGCGATTTTCTTCAATTTCTATGTCAAAATTATTTACATACGTTCACAAAATATTAATTTTTTAGTAGCCTGTCACAAGACTGAAATGTTTTCTTATAAGGGTAACAGCTGTAAGCTGTTAACCCTTTGTTTTGTTGAAATAAATTAAATAATGCTGAAAGCCTGTAAATGTTTTGCTGTCTTAGTGTCTTTTTACATCTTTTCAGGTCAGGAGCAAGTTGGAATCTGTCAATTTTCTTGTGCACAATTGTAATGTTTGTCACCTTTTCACTCAAACATCTTAATACCTATTTGAAATGATTGTTTAAGCTGGTTCGTTTACTCATTTCTTATAATAAAGTCTTGATAATGTGCGTAGGTACGATCACTGGGTGCGGTTGGCTTTGTCTTGATTTCATCTTTCTTGATTAGGGAAAACATACTAGCTTTGGTAATCAATTCAAGAATTCTCTCCAAATCTTTTTTATCATCTGTGGTTACTAACGTGTTTTTCTCTCCCTCTTGTACTGTGGGAAATGTTGCTTGTAGATCACCATTAACATTCATGCTTCTCTCACCTTTGTCCTCACTGCTTCTGGTGTTAATTCTATTCCCTCAATGAACACGATATATACCCTATTCGGCATTTTGGTATGTCACTATTCTACAGTCTTTGTATTGAATTGGTTCTTGTTCTTGGCTCATTAAAACACTAATGTGGCTTTTGCTTTCAGGTTTTGATCAATAGTGGATGTTTCATGTTCTTGCTCCACCTGTTGTATTCTGTTTTCCTTACTAGAATGGGGATGAAGTCTTCACTAAGATTGCCAACATGGTTGGAGAGAGCCATTTAATGCTGTATGTATTTAAGGTGTTGCAAATTTTTCAATTGAAATGTTATTCTTCTCTGTTGGGATTTGAGAAGGGATAGATAGCTGAGGATGTATATTATTTATAGCATAACAATTCAACAGAAAACATGTTCTTAGAACTTTTGGATTTTTATAATTAAATTTTTGAAATATAGTTTGAGGTTGAGTGAAGTGAATAACCAACTTGATCAATCACATTTTAATACAATCTTTTGTACCCTACAGCTACAACTACACAGATAAAAGAAATGATTCCATTATGTGTTGACAAATGCATGTAAACCTATTTGTAGATTTCAATTATATTCTATCTGTCTGTAATATATGATCTAATATAACACAGGGTTGCTATGATATTGCCTTGCTGGTAGCTCCTTATGTATATGTGGAATGCCAAAGTATATGAATATTTTTGCTTGATAGGATTTGCATTGAGTTCGTGCAGGGCATGTATATCATACTTATTTGACGAGGTCTCTTAGGAAGCAGTGTTTAATATATTTATCACAAAACTTGCAACACTAAATGTCCAACTCCAATGCCAAACAGAAAGTGACTGAAATTGTAAATGGATCATGTAGTGCGCCACGCCACCATAGCTTTCCTCATCAAGTCCAAAAAAGACTGATATCTTCGCCTTTATAGAATACAATGAATCACTTAAATTAAGACCGACAACATCTTATCCAAAGTACTTTTATATATGAGTTAATCATCGGTGTAAAATTTTTTTACACTGATAATCAATTATATCTTTTAATTATGTCATGTCATTATAAACACATTTATTTTTAACAGTGACATGACACAATTAAAAGATATAATAACAGTGACATGTATAATTAAAAGATATAATTAGTTGTCGTTGTAAATTTTTTTTACACCTACAGTGTATATAATTAACTCTATATATACTAGCGAAAAAGTAAAAGTTATTCAAAGTGTGTATCACCAAATGGGGGACACAATCTCTTTTATTATTATTAGTGGATGTGACACTTTGCATTTCTATATATCTTTTTTTTTTATTTATAGAAAAAGTGATAATTATTCATTGCAAAGGATAAATAAAACAAAAAAAAATCAATCAAAAGAAATCGTTATGTCGTCAGTAAACTTTCAATACTTAAAAAGATAAGTGATTTAATTTTTTTTATAAAATAAAAAGGGTAAAAGTGTTCATATAAAAATAAAAATCAAAACAATTATTAAAAAGAATATCTCTTTTATATTTGGGTCATGTCTAATAGATTCTTGGCCTAAGGCTATTTTTTTTATTTAAATTTTATTCTTGTATAATTAATCAATTTTTATTCTTTATTTTTTAACAATAAAATTATAATTTAAATTTAATAATTAAGAAGTTTGAACATCTCCTTCAAGGATAATTTGTTTAGTCACTATTTTATAACGTAATCTCAAATTAAATTTAAAAAGAATTAATTTTGGAAAAAATGATAATGACAATAATTTAAATATTGTTTATAACATTCTATAAACATATTGCACGCAGTTTTGAAAAAATAAGTTTTAATATAATTTAATATTTTTAATGAAATATTAATTGTTTAAAATTTTATTTTTTAGTAATTTTAAATTAGAGAAAAAAAGTTATGATCACTAATATAAAATTAATACAATATATCTTTCAAAATATTATTTAATAAAATTCAAACAAAAATATTCAGATTAATTTCATATTTTAAAATATTTTCAAATAATTTGTGAATAAAATAAAATAAAATAAAATAATTTGATATTTATACAAAATAATTAAAACTAGAGAAATATTTTTTTAGAAGAATTGAAAGAATTAATCTTTAGTTGAATGTTCTTTATGATTTATCACTATCATTTTCGTTAATATATATATATATATTTTATTTATATATAAATCATACTTTTTCTAATGAAATTTAATCCTTATTTTATTTTCATTATTATTTTCAAAATTGACTAAAACATCTAGTTCAATTGATATAAACATGTTAATTCCATTAAATTAAAAATAATTGGCTTATATAAGGATTAATAAATATTTATCAAACAAATCTAAAATTGATAAAATATAATTAATGTTCCATTAGTTTAATAAATAAAAATTATAAAATAAATTATATATATATATAGATAAAATAATATAGTTTTTAAATTATAATAAATTTCTTAAATTAATAATCCTATAACAATATTTATGTATATACAATTTAAAAATAATTATATAATCTTATATACTAAAAAAATTAATTATAAATAATATATTAAAAAATGTACACAAAAATTAAGAAATTGGTCAAGCCTATCTTGTCTTAGCTACAACCTTGTTTCATAAAATGGTATAGATAGATTATAGAAGTATAAACAATGTTTTTTTGTTAGAATCATGTCTTACACTCTTAATCAATAACGGCACAAAACATATTCCATATAGTTGTCAGGCTTAAGATCCAACAAAGATTTGGAAAACCAAAAAAAAAAAAAAAAATCACAAAAATATAATGAATTTGTTTCTTCAACCAAAATAAATTATTTGAACACAAAGAAAAGCAACCTCCGAGGCTAACAAAATTCTATAGAAACGCGAAAAAGAACCAAAGGTAAACCCGGAAACAAAGCAACAGAGATTCAAAGATATTATGCTATTCTAATAACATGAAACTTTGTTGACAATAGAACATGTCAAGTTGTCCTGAAACTGGATCAGGCAACAACGAGTGAGGCATTTCCATGAGAGCAAGAGTCCTAAAGGTCCTACGCTCCATGTCATACAAAACTCCTCTAACATGTGTGGGAACAAAATATGGCAGAAACAAAATCTCACCACTCTGGATCCTACAAAGTGGAAAAACAACTTCCTCTGGTGGCACTACCTCTGGAGGAAGCACAACACTCTTGGATTCCCACTCCGCACTCTCGTGGTCCTTCAGAAACCACAACTTCAAATCATTCCCACGGAATCTGAACAGGCACAAACTACCACCCATTTCGATCAGATCAGGGTACTGCAAACTCGGGTACTTGCACGATACAAGGGAGTATCCCGAACGTGGGGGAGCGCACGTGGCGAGTATCTCCTCAGGCCCCACATCGAACAGGAGAAGAATGAAGCCGTGCGTCCAGTATATAACACCGTTCATGCAGACCCCTCTCTTGTCCCAGTGGCGGGTCAAGAGGCTTTCCACGAGCTCGCGGGAGGCTCCGGGAGACACGCGTCTCCACGACGCGTCGCAGCCGAGGGTGAAGATCTTGATGTCGTGAGAGCCACGCGCGCGGTACTTGAACACGCGAAGGACCTTGAACTCGCCGCGAACGTTGTCGTATCCGAAGTGGGTTGACACCATGAACTCTCTTCGTTCCACGGAGTGATCGAGTGGGAGAGGGTGCACCTGCCTTGTGGTGGGGTTCACTATGAAGGTGAAGGCCTCCACGTGGGAGGAGAGCCAAACGCTGCCTCGGGGGTGGACGCAGAGCAAACCGTTGACGCACTGCACACGTGTTTTGGGGAAGCTAAGGTTTGGGAAGGAGACGAGGAGCGAGGAGGCACGTGGGGGTGTGAGGATGACGTCATTATCGTGAGGGTCGAAGTGACAGGGTGATGAAAAAATGTGGGGTTTTGAGGATCCGAGAGGGGAGAGGAAAATGATGTTGTGTGTGAGTTTGCGAAGGTTAAGAAAAGAAGGTTGGCGTATGAAAGTGTTCCATCTCTTGCACGTGCATATGAAGCGAATAAGGGTCTTTGATGGAAGCAAAGGGATGATGTTGTACAGAGAGATATCATCTGGGATTGTTGACATTCTTTTCTTCACACTTCACACTTCACACTTACTCTCTCAACAGCACTACATATCTACTATTATATATATACTACACTTCCACACACACTATTTTATTTATTTATTTATATTTCCTTTGACTGCTTAACAGTCATATTTTTAGTTACTATTTTTTTTTTTTGTTCTTTTTTCCTCTAATATTAGGGTGGTTATGATCTTCTGTTTTTACCCAGTTTTTAATTCAAAACTATCGTATCATTTTTTTTATTTTATAAAATAATAAATTTTAGAAACCATAAATGTAAAACTATTATAAATTGATTGAAAAAGTATTTGAATCAATGACAATACTAAGATGTTTAGCTTTCAAGTAGAAAAGAATAACATAATTATTTACTTTCAATATTAGTATTTTAAAGTTAATAAGAACAAATATTTGAACAATTCAATTAATATTTATTGTAATAGTTTCAATCAATAATCAAATATTGTAATAATGATTGTATTTCATAATAAACTCACGTGGACAAAATTATGCACAATATTATATTAATTATTTTCTTTTAAAGATATCGACGTTTTTATTTAAATTTTTTTTATATATTTCTAAAGTAGATAACTATAGTAATTAAAATGATTATAAGAAATATATATATTTTGATTTCAATTATTAACATAATTTTGAATTATTAATATTTTTGAGCAAGAATCTATTTTAATGACTACTTTTAATGATTTTTTCGTGAATGTATTTTGACTTTGGGTATTAAACTTTGTACTCATTCAACTTCATCCTAATACTTGAGTTTCCATGCAAGTTGTTTTTTTTTTTTTTTTTTTTTACTATTATAATTGTCCTCCTAGTGATCAATCCAAATGGGTTTCTCTGGTTCGCCATCCTTCTTGGAAGCTACTAAAAACACCTCCAACTGAGTGCTTATTTTGTATCTTAAAAGTAAACAACAACGTTTAGAAGTATTTGTCATTGAAGTGATCCTACGTGCCAAGAGAAATTTCAATTTTTTTAACAATAACAATACTAAGATGTTTAGCTTTCAAATAGAAAAGAATAACATAATTATTTACTTTCAATATTAGTATTTTAAAGTTAATAAGAACAAATATTTGAACAAATCATTTAATATTTATTGTAATAGTTTCAATCAATAATCAAATATTGTAATGATTGTATTTCATAATAAATTCATTATTATGCACAATATTATATTAATTATTTTCTTTCCAAGATATTTGGTGATGAATTCCCTCGACTAGGTTTCAATGAACACATTGTTAATTCCCTGAATATTCCTCGTCCCATAACCCTACCGGTATATATATGCCTCTAAGCTATCGAGGTTTATTTTTCTGTTATATTATCATTTTATCATTACAATTTTGAAGCATTTTCAATTCCTTCTTTTCATGAAACTTTTCATTCTTTGGGAAACGAAGAACCACTCACTGACATTGTTGATTATTACATCAAAATCCAAAGATTGCAACTCATGCTTCGTTTGCTCTTCGTTGGATCCTCTGCTGTAAATAAGAGTTTCTTATTTTTGGCCTTTTCCTATTTACATTAGGCGTTGCAAAATTCACGCTTCCCCTCATCTTATTTTCTAAGACTTGGTATAACCCTTCCCTTTGATGATTTCTTTATGAGCGTTGTTTGGATATTAAACATTATATTGTTCCCACTTAGCTTCATCCAAATCCTAATAGTTGGGTTTCTATGCAAGTTTTTTTTTTTTTTTTTCATTTTTTTTCTTTCTTTTTTTACATTTATGTAAATATACTCATGTTCAGCCTACTTCTAACTATTATTATTATTGTCTTCCTAGTGACGAATCCAAATGGGTTTCTCTACTAAGGCCCTATAGCTTATATAAAAATTTCTAAATCAATTTTTTCAAAAGGTTGGGATTCACACAACTGTTCACAAATATTTTTTTGATAACACTGATAAACCTCTTTGTCCTTTTTATTGGACTTGGGTGCCAAGGGTCTTTGTTTCGAGGGCAATTCCCCTATCAGCCTACACATGTTGACATCCTCCCCCTTCTTTACTCATTAAATAATAGTGATGAAAGTAAAATTTGTTATTAATAATATATCATTAGTAATTAAATTCTATTTTATCATTAATATTATTTATAATAATGATAAAAAAAATAAATTGTCATTATAATTTTATTAATAATGATCAAAATATGCTTATCATAAAAATTTGATACTAATATTTATAAATTTTAAATTTTTTTAATTTAAAATCGCCACTAATATAAATTTTATTAAATATAAAAAATGTATTTGAGACAAAAAGTTAACTTTGTAATAAATAATATAATTCATGAGTGATTATTATAAAAGTTATGATATATTCTTAATTACAAGTAACAAATTATTCATTGTAAAAAATATATTGTTAAAATTTATCATAAATATTTAATGTTACTATATTAACAAGTTATTAAAATCAAAATTGAAGTAGTCATTTCTACAGTAGATTGATTTGATAGCTAATTAACCCTCTAGCTCTTAAAAGATTCAACTAATATAAAATTAGAGAAACACAAATTGAATTGAACAAATTGATGAAAAATAAAAAATATATTAATGTCTAAAATATATTTTGGATTTCACTCTTTTCACTTATTATCGTAATTGATTTATGGTTTAATCTTTATTAATATATATATATATTTACTTTTATAATTTACAATATTTTAATTTTTATTTAAAATTAATATTTATGACACAATTTAAATTATTTATTATAAATTTATAAATTTAAATAATAATTTATATATCTAAAGTCTATTTTTTAATTTTTAATGATAATATAATTTATAAAATTATAAATATTTATTTATTAGATATTAAAATTTATTATATATAACTATCTATAATGTATAATACACAAATTAAAATATTAGTTGAATAATAATGAATAAAATTTTAAATTTATTTAAATATTAAAATTAAAATAATTTCATATTATCTTTTATACGAGATTAATTTCGTCATTATTTTATTCTTTACCATGTAATATAAATTAACATCTATATGTTAAACATGAATGTGAACATTTTGAGAGATTATTTTAATTTTTATTTATTATATTATTTATATATTATATTTTAATATTTTAAAAATAAATTATTAATAATTAAGATATTATATTTATTTCTCTTAAATTTAAAATATAATTAATATATTTAAAACTATTTATTTATTTTATTTTTAACAATTTATATATTCATGTAACGACCGCCAGGTCTTACACAATTTATAACGTCAATGGACTATGTATAGAGAACACAGTCTATACCAAATATAATGCATAAAAATATAATATTTACAACTAATAGTTATATCATACAGAGAATCTACAGTCACTGATCTCAAATACATATACAATTGTCAGTAAAATAAATATTCTATACAAAATATCTAGTAGCCATCAGTAAAATATAACAAAATATACTTCTTGCAACTGCTTCACAGCCAAACGCAACTCACCTGCCACAAAATCACCTACTCCTGATATGCTCACATACTGAGATATAGTCATTGTAGTTCTAGCCACAAAGAAACAACCAGGTTGAGCTCACAACAATAATCATCATAAAACAACATTCAACCTACAATGGACAACAATAAGATACATCAAATCAACAAGTCAATTCAACTTTTATGCAACAACATACACATCAATAATACAACAATAGTATAACATCAACCACAACATCAACTAATGCATCGTCATGCATATACAACTAGGAGATCTCCAACAACTGAGGTTGAGTAGTCTAGGTGGCATAAACCCTACTAAATCCAACGTTTGACCTATTTCAACTAGGTCAGGCACAAGACATCATTAGGAACTCTGAAGAGAACCAAGTATAAACAAAAATGGGCGATTTCTCAAGTGTTCCACTCAAACTCGAAGGTCTAGTACTACTGTCAGGGTAAAAGGGTTTGCGTGTGGGCCTACCACGACCTTGGCTTGCATCACCAATCCATATATGGAGTTAGCCCACCCACTGCCCTCCAAGTATCACACACCCTCAATTGTTCATTCAACCATGACATAGATCGACTATTTCCATGCCACCCACACAGTACTAAGGGATTCAAATTTAAAAAAAAACCTTCAACTTATCACCTTAGTACTATGTATCTCAACATAAGACATATATCTTAGCCATATATCCCAACTTGACAACTTCACAAAAATAGACATCTTAACAACTTTACAATAATAAACATCTTAATATTAACTTAACAACGTTAATCAACACAACATTAAATAATCAATAATAAGCAACTTAAATAAACAACTTTGATACACAACACTCTTAACATAACACCTTTTAAACATCCTTATACACAACATATATCAACTTAATTAAATCATCAACTACTCAATGTTAAGATTTTTAAATAGGCAAGCGCACCCAAGTCTCTGCTAGTTTCAGTACGGGTCGTTCCAGATGCATTAAAGAAGGACTTTTTAGGCATTAATCTTAGGTTTCTGTTTGTGTATTATTTGTTTTTTTATTAGTTTTTTTGTTGTTATATTGTTATTGTCTTTTTTACTTTATTTGTCTATTCAGTTAATTCGTTGTTTTAATAATGAGAGTTTAATTTTTTCAGGATTATGGAGTATTCAGGGTCTGGCAGTGGAAGGAGGGAAGGTAGATCTATCACCCGATTGTCTGGGTTGACAGCTGGACGCATTGCCAAGGAGAGGACACCGGTTGAGGTGGATCCTCGTTCTGGCAAGGCATCAGGCCCAAATGCTGCCAAGTTTAAGAGCTATTTGGGAGTCCTAGCTCGACGACATGTTTCTATTATCATTCCATCATGGGATGACGTTCA